TTTCCCATATTGTAGGTTGCCTCTTAGCTCTGGTGGTGGTTTCTCTTGCAGTGCAGAAGCTTTTTATTAAGATCCCAGTTGTTGATTCTTTGTGCAAGTTCCTGTGCCACTGAGGTTTTTTTCATAAAGTCTTTTCCTATACCAATATCTTCAAGAGTTCTAGCTATCTTCTAGCAAATTTAGTGTTTCTGTCCTAATATTTAAATCTTTAATCCACATTAATTTAGTGCATGGTGATAGGTATGGGTCTAGTTTTAATCTTTGGGAGGTTGAAATCCAGTTTTTCCAACACCATTTATTAAACAGGCAATCTTTCCTCCAATGAGGATGGCTGGCTCCTTTGTCAAAGATGAGGTGGCTGAGCATATCAGTAGTTGTTTCTGCATCTTCTAATCTATTCCACTGATCCTCAGGTCTGTTTCTTTGCCAATACCATGCTGTTTTTATCACAGTAGCTTTGTACTATAGTTTCAAGTTGGGGATTGTAATACCCCTAGCCATATCTCTGTTGCCTAAAATTTCTTTTGCTATTCTAGGTTTCTTCTGGTTCCAAATGAATTTTTGGATTGTTTTTGCACTTCATTATTAAATCAGTTTCTTAGGAACAAAATTAAACCATTTCCAACTTTATGTGTTTTCTCCGAGGGCCACTATTTCTACCTAGTCCAATTTTCTCTGGTCCTAATATACTTGGAGATAAAAGTTTTGTGAAGAGGATTTTATTTTCCCATCAACTGTCAATAATAAATTCTGCCAGGGCTGGGGATTTAGCTCAGTGGCACTGTGCCGGCCTCGCAAGCTCAAGATCCTGAGTTCAATCCCCCATACTGCCAAAAAATAAAAAATAAATTCTGCCACACACAGCTGTAACCTTCAGCTTTATTTCGAGCGCAGCATCAACCTGAACCTTGTGTTTAATGTTTAGCAACGAGTAGGAAAATCGTGGGTAGTTTAGGCAGGGCTCATGCAGAAGACCTGAGTGTATTTAATAACCTTTGAATTGCTGGGACACAATACCTGATGTTTACAACTTAAAGGTTCTCAGTTTCAGAGCTTGCAGTCTGTTTTAGTTACTTTTTTCATGGCTGAGACAAAACACCTGACAAGTTAAAGGAGGAAAAGTTTATTTCAGGTCACAGTTTGTAGTCCATGGTCAGCTACCTGCAAAGCAGTGTGGCATGGCAGAGGGGCACTGCAGACAAGAAACAGCTCATGGCAGAGCAGGCAGGAGGCAGCAAGTTGCAAGCAGAGAACCAAGCCAGCAAGCAGCAAGGGTCACTTTTCTTTTTTTTAAAGTTTTTTGGAGACAGGGTCTCACCATGTAGTCCAGGCTGGCCTCATGGCAATCCTTGTGGCTCAGTCTCCCAAGTGTTGGGATTACAGGAGTGCACTACCATAACAGGCTTCCTTTCTCTTTTTGTCCCATCTGGGTTATCAGCCTTTTGGGTGGTGCCACCACACCCAGGGTGGGCCTTCCCATTTTCCACACCCAGAACTATGCTAATTCCAATCAGTAGAGTAATTTAATACCATACCCTTAGTCCCATTATCACACATCCTAGATCCAGCCAGCTCCAGCTCTGAAAAGCCCCGCTATGAGTGCATGAGGCTTTGGTTGGACATATAGATACAAGCCAGAATGCACTCCATGGTCAACTGGCTCCAAGGCAGGAACATCATCATGGCAGAGGAAAGCTACTTATCCCATGGCAATCAGGAAGCAGAGTAAGAGGGAAAGAGCCCGAGAGGAAGGGCACAGGGCTCACCTGTCCCCTGCTGTGCTACATACAGCCTGCCTACTGCCCATCCTGTCTCATACACAACCTCCCCTAAGACAGTGAAACTTGCAAGCAGCTGCCACATTGAGTTTCAAAGCTGTCTTCTCTCTCCTGCTTCCAACGTGGGCTTCAAATTCGGGTGCCCAGGCTCCAGCCTCCTGTCCCTCATCTGAACCTCTCCTAGGAGGGTATACTGTGTAGGAGCTGTACACCTGGCTGTGCCTGGGATCATGCACCTGCAGGCTTGGACTTGGAAATCAGGGATTGGGGAAGGCACGCCCTGGCTGGGCTCCCCTTACACTGCCCTTGGGACCTCTCAGACTGTGTGGGGTTGAGTGTGAGCCTGTTGTCATCATTGAGCCTGTCCTAGGCTCTGGTCCCTGGGCATCCTGTTTTCTACCCTCTCCTTCATAAAAGAGGTGGCGGGCACCCCAAGATCCCACATGGGCCCCAGCTGCCTTGGTCAGGCATAACTGGGAGCTAAGCCTCTGAACACCCTTGAAGCTGCCATCCCTGACTGCTGCAGCAGCAGGCCAGCGGCTTGGTCCATGTGCTCCATGTACCCACCAGGGTCTCCTGACGCAGACCTGCCCTTGCGCTGGGGAAGGGGGTGGCAGCAGCCATGGCTTTAACTGGACCATGTGACAGAGGGGACAGAGTGCTTCCTCCCAGGTCAGCTCGGGCCTGGGCCTCATACTTGCATCTGTGAGCCTTGTATGGATCTAGCATGGGTTCCAATGTGCCTGGCTGTGGAGGGGAGGGCCCTTGTTCCACCTCAGGGGGGGTTGGGCTGGGGGAGGGGTGTTGTAGTTACTGTTCTCTCATTGCTGAGACAAAATACCCAACACCCAAACTTAAAAGGGGAAAGGTTTATTTAGCTCACAGTTTGTAGAGGTTTCAGTCCATAATTGGCTGGCTCCAAGGCAGGGTGGCTTGGCAGAGGGGTACCACAGAGGAGAACCACTTTATGACAATCAGAAGACACCAAAAGAGAGCAAAGGGGCAAGGGACCTGACAAACCTCTTTCTGTCCTTTATATTGTATCCAGGCTACCAAGATTAGGGTAGGTGCCAAACCAATCAGTGGACTGATTTAGTAATCACCCACCCTTAATCCTAGCATTGCAAGCATTGCACCATGAATCAGTCACACACTCTAGATTTACCTCTGAAAAAGCCCCATCTAAGACTGCATGAGGCTTTGGGGGGACATCTAAACACAAGCCATAACAAGGGGGCAGGCTCTAATTGGGCCCAAGGATGCAGATCATCCGGCCCAGGGCCTGACCCCAGCCAGAGACCACACTGGCCAGATCCACTGGACCTCTCTCACTGACCTGCCCGAGCCTCCATTACCATGGTGGTTGCCATCAGCTCTCTGCTTCTGACAAAGAATAAGCTCCCCAGAGTGGAGCTAGGCACTTCGTCCTGCCAGGTTCCTGAAGGTTCCATCATCTGACCACTGGTCAGTATCTGGCTGCCCCTGTGGGGCTCAGGCTCCCACCTAGGGCTGTATGGGAGACCAGATGGAAGAAAAAAGCCTAATTTGCCTCCTCCGTGAGCACTGAGAAGAAAGAGGGCATGCAAGTGTGCTAACACACTGCAGGGAAAAGTAAAACATTTGAGGTTGTTTATCCAGAGAAGTACCATGGAAGGAGACAGACAGATGAATCCTGTGGAATCCTAATTGTTTGTGCCCGTGTCTTAGTGAATAAAGTCAAGGTGTGCCTGTCATTTGGGGCTCTATGTCAAAGGGAGACCATAAGCCCCCTGGCCCCCAGATTTTAATCTGTTTCTGTGTCTCTTTATATTTCATCCTTGTCATCTCTTGGTCAAGATTGAGCTCTGCTCGTAGGCTGTTCCTACAGGGCTGAGCTCTAGGACAGGGTCTCTGACATCACTCAACTCTGCAGGGAGAGTGGGCCTTTGCTCGTGGGAGTTTCAGGCTCTAGCCAAGTGCTGGGCCCAGGCTGTTTTGACACTTGCCCCAGGGTACAAGGCAGGGATGGGGAAGAGGACTCTGTAAGAGGCATCAGTGATAAGTAGGAAGAGACCACCAAGGTCCAAATCCATCCAGGGGGGCCTTCAAGTCACTCTATGCCTCAGTTTCTCCATGTGTGAGATGGGAGCAGAAGCTTCTGGGAGTGCTCAGCTCAGGGTCCAGCATACAGCTACTCCTGGAGAAGGGGCACTCAATCTGTAGGAGAGGACCATCAGGCAGAAGGAACAGCAGGATGGCCACAGGGGCAGAGGACAGGGAAAGCTGTGGAGGGGTCTATTGGCTAGTAGGAGCCAGTGGACAGCAGGGCCCTGGGCTTTTGCAGCCCCAGACTGCCCTCAGCCTGAGTCCAAGGGAGGCATGGCTTAGGGCCCTGGGCAGGGACAGGAGCAAAGACCACTAGCCCATCCAAGGACAGAGGGAAGGACTTCAAAGGTGGGGGAAATGTCACAGGGGCTCTGAATCCAGGATTCTTGGATATGAGTTCTGTCACCTGAGGGTGATGGGGCCTGGTGAACACTGGACATGCCATCCTCACAGGGTGCCTTCGGGGTCCTGCAGAGGCCTCTCAGCCTGCCTCCAGGCCAGAATCCCTCCCCTCTCCTAAAAGGAACCACCTGAGGCCAGTGCAATGTCCACCCCTATGAGTGGGCACCAAGGATCAAGGCCTAGACCAGCTGAGGACCAGACTGGCATGAATGAGCAGGTTTCTACTTCTTACAATTTTATTTTACCTATCTATTGAGTCCTGAGGGTGCCAGAAAGGGGCCTTGGTATGGACATGGAGGCATGAGGGCCTAGGACGGGATGGAAGAGCTCCTACTGCAGGGCTTCTACTTGGTCTTTCCCCAATTTTCTGTAACAAGTTAGGCACCACTTTCATATTAAAAGCCCACATTTTAGGGCTGGGGATTTAGCTCAGTGGTTTTGCTGCCTGCTGTGCAAGCACAAGGACCCAAGTTCGATCCCTGGTACAAAAAAAAAAGCCCACATTTTAAGCTAATGTCCACATGCTGTTTTAGTTTATGAGTTAATGTTTCTATTTATTTATTTATTTATTTATTTATTTATTTATTTATTTATTTTTACTACTGGGGATTAAACTCAGTGCCTTTGCACTGAGCTACATCCCAAGCCCTTTCTTTTTCTTTTGAGACAGGGTCTCAACACGTAGTCCAAGGTGGCCTTGAGCTTGTGCCAATTCCCCTGCCTCAGCCTCCTGAGTGCTGGGATTACAGGCATGTGCTACCACTTGCTCTAAAATCTTAATGCCAAAACAGAGACTCTGTGTTATCTTGCAGTTTGTCCTATTTCTTATAAAATACATTTGTTGGGCCGGGATTTTAGCTCAGTGGTTCCACTGCCTGCCTCCCAAGCTAAGGACCCGAGTTTGATCCCTGGTACCAAAAATAAATAAATAAATAAATAAGTAAATAAATACATTTGTTATAAGAAGGAAAATGCCTCAGTTGTGTTCCTAATCTTAAGGGGCCCTGCCACACCTTTCTACCAGATGTAGCTAATTAGAGCAAGTTCACTGCCCTGGCTTTAAAACCAACGTTAATGCATTCAACACAAATTGTTATTCAAATGTGGCTTCTAAACTCCTTTACTCATCAAGTTCAGGCTCTGGGATCCTCAGATCTACCCATAACCGAGCAAAAGAGGACAGGCCTAGGCAGACTCTACTTTAGCATTGATAGGACACAAAGCAGGTGTGGACTTGAGCTGCCATCCAAGGCTGTCCAGCAACACCTCTTGCCAAGTTTCTAGCAGGATGAGGGGCAGGGCCAACCACCACTGCGCAGCCCCTCCAGGCCCCAAAAGGCCGCTCACATTTTCAAGTCAAGATCGAATCAACGATGCTGCTACCGGAGACAACGGCAAAAATAAAAAGCAAACGAGCAAATCCCTGGTACATCCCTTATCCCCTCCAACACCTGGTCCACCTGGAAGGAAGCCAACAAGGTGAGACCCACAGGATGAATCACATGTGTGAGATTACGAGCCCCTGAGAGAGACGCACTGCCCAAGGACTTAACACCTCCCAGTACCGCCACCACCACCCACCGCTCTGGAGGCCTCAGACACAAGAGGGCCTTGAAAGCTGAAAAACTGGGAAGTGCTTCGTCCCGACTTCCTGCGATTAGGTGGGGAAGGGCTCATTCTGGTGGTAGGGGTGCTATGCACGACTCAAGGGAGAGAACTGCAGGAAATAAGGGAGTCCAGTCGTTGCCCAAGCAACAGGGCCCAGTGGGGGAGGGGGGCTAAATTCTATCTCCATGGAGACTGCGCTGGCTAAACAACACTAATATTAGACGCATCCCTAGAAGGTCAGCCGAGGTCTGGAGGTAAGCCAGAGTATAGATTGACAGATTGACGACACTGCCCTCATCTCTGATTTGCGACCCTGAGACGCGTTGCATCCCGAGACCTGGGCCTAGAATTTTAGGGCTGGGGAATAGGAGGGGTTGAAGCCAGTCAGTGACCTCGCGAGTCCCTGTGCCCCAGGTCCCAACCCATGACGCCCAAGAAGCGTGAGCCGAGCGCGGGGCGCCGAGCAGCGGGCCAGGATGCCGAGCCGCCGCTCTCAGAGCGCTCACAGTACCTGCAGCGCCAGTACGCGCTGCTCTCAGAGCAGCTGAAGGCTTGCGAGGAGTGCGTGGACCGAGTGCTACGAGAAAACGCCTTCTTGGACAGCGAAGAGCAGCGCTTGCGCGAGGAGAACCGGCTTTATGCCAGCTACGTGAGCGCGCACGCGCAGCGCTGTGCCCAGGCCGTCGTGGGGCTGGATGAGCAGAACCGCGTGGACCTGGCGCAGATCCACGGGAAGAGAGCAGAGCTTGCTTCACTCTACCGCGAGCGCGAGGACGGGCTAAGCGCGCAGCTGCTCGATATGGAAGCGCGCGCGGCGCAGATGGTGCAGCAGGTGCAGGAGCTGCAGCCCTACAAGGTCAGTGCCCGCACGCTCGTAGACAGGGCGGGACTGAGGGCGGGCTCGCCGCGCCCCTGCGCTGACCCCGGCCTGGTAGCAGGAGCTGCAGCTGGAACAGCTGGCGCGGATCCGGGCACTGGAGCGCGAGCTGCTACACGTGCGTATGGAGCACACACAGCTCCTGCATCGCGAGAAGTGCCGCTTCTTCGAGGACAAGGCGGCCTTCGAGCGCGACGCGCGCCAGAGCGTGCAGACTCTGGCACGGCGTGCGGAGCGGGATGCGGCGCGCGCACTCATTGCGCACACACAGGCCATCAAGGCAGACAACGGACGCCTGCGGCAGGAGCTGCTGCACCTGCTCCACCGGGCCCAGTTGCTGCGCGACACGCAACACCAGCTGCTTCAGCAGCGTGAGCATCTGCGGCGCGAGCACGAAGACACGCGAAGCCTGGCGCGCGTGCACAGCTGGCTGCGCAGGGGCTCCGGGGGTCCGCCACTCTGGCAGCCGCCCGCCCCTTCCCGGCCCACCTCGCGCCCTGGATCGTATGCGCCCACAGGCCCATCGCAGGCGGCCTCCAGGGCTCCATCTGTGGCCCAGTCGCGCGCGGTTTCCCAGGTACCATGGGTGGTCTCACGCACAGCCTCCAAGGTTCCCTCTTTGCGGTCACGGGCGACTTCTCAGGTCCAGTCGTTGATCCCATCGCTAGCGGCTTTGCAGGAGGCCTCCAGCCTCCCTTCCCTGTTCCTAGCGCGCCCCGCCTCCCGGGTCCAGTCCCCGACCGGGTGGAGCTCAGGCTCCCAGGTTACGTCCCTGACCTCCTCGTTCTCGAGCTCTAGTACCTTGTTGCCAACGGCGTCACGCGAAGACTCTAGGACCTCTCCACGGCCGTCCTTTCCTGAGACTGCACAGGGCACTCTCCCCTCCTCAAAGTCCAGCCCTAAGCTTCCCTCGGGGCTGGCCCAGGGTGCAGCTTCTTGTACCCCACAGTCCGAGGCTGTGGACACCCGCACTGCAGCAGAGGTTGCCCCGGGGCAAGTCTGAACCCCACCAGGAGAGAAGACTGAAATCTCCAGGTTGGGGAGGTGAGGAGGATCCGTCCCTGGTCCCTATGGGTGTTAATAAAGGTGTGGCCCCCACGCTGCCCTGCGCTTGCCTGGTTTGCTGCTGTAGCATTTCCGGAGGGCATAGTGGCGCTCACGCCCATCGCGGACTCCTGAGCTGCCAGGGTCTTGAGACCTCTTTCCCCCTGTGTGTCTGCTGGAATTCAGTGTCTGCCCTCTGCCAACTCTGCCAACCATGGACCCCAGAGAGAGCCGGAGGGCGGTGCAGAGTGCTTGGTGGAAGCTGGATAGTGGGACCTTGAGGGCCAGGTCTGAGGTCCTGGACTGCACTAGGTTCTCAGTGCAGCAGAGATTTTCGACTATTTTGAGTAATATTAAAATAAAATTTCCAGCTGGGGATGTATCTTGGTGGTGTCCCGCCTGCCTCACAAGTGCAAGGTCCTGAGTTCGATCCCTGTACCGGAGATTAAAAACAAAACAAAACAAAAAAACGGCCAATTTACAGAAAGTTGCAAGAATACTACCAGGGCTCCCATAAACCACATCCAGGTGCACAGCAGCATACCTTTTGCCCATGTGCTTCTGTTACTGCAGTTTTAGAGCCAAAAGCCTGACTCTAAGTGTCCCAGCATACCACACTTGGCCACCCATCCCATAATTCCAGTGAAGGAAATGGGATGAAGCAGTGTGAAGGACAGGAAAGGAGCTTTAATCAGCATGACCATGCTGGGAGACACAGAAAAAGAGGTTCAAGATTTGTTTTGGGGGGCCTGACAGAAGCGTTGGGGTTTCATAGAAAAGTGGAACAAGCCATGTGTGAGTGCTATGGTGCCAGCACTCTAGGAGGCTAAGGCAGAGGACTGAGTTTGAGTCTAGCCTGAGACTTAGCAAGACCCTGTCTCCAAGCAAAAACTAAAAGAGAGCTGGGGATGTAGCTAAATGCAAAGGCCCCAGTACTGGGGGTGGGGGTGGCAAAAAAGCAAGGGTTTGCATAGCAGGCAGCACAGCAAGTAATCCTGGTTGTCGATCTGGTTGATCAGTATCTCAGGACTGGTTCTTCAAGGTTCTGGGACAGATTTTCATGTTTGGGGTGGGGGTAATGTGGTTCCTATCATTAGATGATGGTTTTTGTTCAGGGAAGTAGCCTTGGTTCATGGAGTCATTGCTCCCACTTGAGGGGTGACCTCATCATGGAATGGTTTGTAAGGCTCTGCTTTTCCTGGAATCCAAGTGGTGCCAGGTATAGGACAGCGACTGAAGCCTTTCTAAAACTGCTTCAGGGGGTCTGGAACTGGAGCTTGTAAAAGCAAGCAGTTGGCCTCCCTGCAAATCTTTATCGCAGTGTCCTTGGTCTTGAAGGGGAATGAGCTAGACTAGGTCAATTTAGGGCTAATAAACTTTGTATTACAGACACTCCTTAAGGGATTAACAGCCTGGGTGCAGAGCTGAGCAGGGATCTGACCTAACGTTTTAAGGGAATAAATGAGACAGATACAAAAAACAAAGGCAGAGATGCTAACCCTCATCCTTTTAGTTACCCATTGGGCATCTGCAGGCCTATCTGATATTTCGGTCCCTGTCACTTGGTGTCCATGTGTGCAGAGTTCTGAGCTACTTTGGGTTGCAGGAAATATACCATGGAAAAAATACTATCTAAATTGTAGCTCACATTCAGACTCTGTCACTTGTTCCAATAGCATCTTTCCCACCTCTGCCACACTTCCCAGGGTCACAACTTGCATTTCATTGACATGTCTCAATGTGCAAAGGCAGTTATAACAGTGTTCCTGGACCAAGGTTTGAATTTGTCAACACTGAATGAGAGACCTGCCTTGTGCCCTCGGCCCTGGCCCAAAGGTACTCAGGGGATGGGCCAGGAATGCCCCAGGGCAGAGCAAGTTCTGGGACCAGCGCTGGGCCTGGTGGACCGTTGTGGTTACTCATGGCTCTGAGCCAGCTGCTCCATGCACCCTGGGCTCCCGAGTGGGCACGCCAGGCCTTTGGCAGCCCCTCCTGAGCCCAAGGCCTCAAGTTTCCTCCAGGGGACCAAGTGGATCTCCCGCTCACCCTCCCTCCCAGTTCCTAGGGCAAGGTTGGAGCTGGGGAGGGGAAGAATGGAGGTATCCCAGCAGGCCAGTGTTGGAAGCGTGTTTTGGTTTTTTTGGTACTGGGGATCAAACTCAGGACCTTGTGCTTGCGAGGCAGGCAGTGGCACCACTGAGGTAAATCCCCAGCCCCAGGAAGTGCTTTTTGCCAAGAACTCAAACATTTTTAAAAGTTGGATCTGGGAATGATGGCATGTCTGTGATTGAAGCAGTGTGGGAGGCTGAGGCAGGTGGATCTCAAGTTGGAGCCCAGCCAGGGGCAATTTAGTAACCAAGCAAGACACTGTCTCAAAAATTTAAAAAAAGGGCTGGGGATGTGGCTGCACAGTGAGGTGGGTGTCAGATTTCCTAACTGGGGTGCATGTGGGAGTGGAGGGCAACACGGAGAGGAGAGGAGTGTGGAGGTGCCACACCTAGTCTCCTATCATCCTTACTTTCCCACTGCGATTGGATCCCAGGCTTCCACAGTCCAGTCCTCTGGTCTGAAGACAGGCTGGCTAAAAAGATGCTGCTTCTAGTTTAAATCCAATATTGGTCCCACCATTAGGCTCACACTGGCAAGTCAGATGTTTTAACATTATTGTTCAAAATCTACACATTCCACCCAGGTCTGTGATGTATGCCCATAATTCAAGGGAGTAATTGGGAGGCTGGGGTAGGAGGATCGTTGTGAGTTCGAGGCCAGCGATGGGCTCCATAGTGAGATCCTGCCTCAAAAAACATAAAAATCGGGCCGGGGATTTAGCTCAGTGGTTTCACTGCCTGCTGTGCAAGCACAAGTACCTGAGTTCAATCCCTGGTACCAAAAAAAAAACAAAAACAAAACAAAAAAACACATAAAAATCTACCTATTCCAAATTCCCCAAAGCATTTCATTTGATGGGTCCATGATTTAGGTCCCAAAAGCCACATATAGAAACACCACAAAGTGAACTAGTAGGGCCAGCCTTGCCCTCAGAGAACCAGTGGTCATCTCCCCTGTGGGACCCCGTACTTCTGAGACCGTGAGACTGGGACACAGCAGATCCCACCAGCCAGGACAGTTCGGTAGCTCATGGTGCACTGCAACTAGAATGCACCCAGATACTGATTTCCCTAGCCTTCCACTCCCCCTAGGAAATGCATCTGTCTACAGCACGTTCTCTTCCCGGCACTGTGGACTTCTCTAGGGCAAGGTCTTCGGTGAAAACCACAGGGCCCTTATTGTCCTGGAGCTCTCTGCTGCTCCTACCACCTGGTGCATCTCTGGAGGAACATGGTTGCCCAGGCCAGACTAGTGAGTTACCTGTGGACAGGGGAGGGAGGAGTCTGCTGGCCAGACTCACCTATCCTGAGAAGGTGGTGCCTAGAGGACAGGTGCCAGGGAGCCACCCTTGTTGCCCTACCCTGGAAGGCACTACCAGCGGAGAGTGGGTAGAGTCAAAACACAGGCTATCCTAGCACCACTGTACCTGTTCCCTGCTTCACAGCAACCAGGCTCTGCCCTGGGATGTCTAAGGGCACCTAGGTGAAATGAGGAAGGTCAAGCGGCAGCCTTAAGTTAGCTAGGGATACCCCCGCTGTTCCTCACCCGCCTGCCCTTACCACTTCCAGAATGCCAGGAAGGAAACCCCCATGGGCACCAGAGCCCATGAAGCAGGCAAAGGATGCAGACTGGTCACGCATGGCTATCCATCAATGGGCAAAACTGCCACCAAGCACCAGGTGGCCTCCTCTGGTCAACAGATAACCATCATCAGATGGAGCACGGTTCATCACTAAATTCTGTGTCATTCATATTTAATCCCACAACTGAAGTGAAAGCATCATGAAGAATTAAGAATCAGGTACAAGGAATTCAGACAAGGCCAGCTTGTTCCAGGACTCTCAAAACTCAAGTCCAGCCAGACATGTGGCACATACCTGTAACCTTAGTTACTGAAGAGGCTGAGGCAGGAGGATTCCAAGTTCAAGGCCAGCCTAGGCAATTTAGCAAGACTGTCTGAAGATAAAATAAAAAAGGCCTAGGGATGTAGCTCAGTACAGAGCACCCCTGGGTTTGATCCCCAGAACTGCAAAAAACAAAAACCTCCAGTTCAGGTTGTGCCATCCTTGGCATCCACTGCCCACAGGTACAAGGTGCTCCATTCCAAGACAGGCTTTTCACCTGCACTCAACCACCTGAAGGCCTTCCTGACTTTCTCCACTGGCCAGGACACAAACAAGACACCTGCCCAACAGCTGTGTGGTTTTTTGCATGTGCTTGGATGATACAAGCAAAGAAAAGCTGTCCACAATCCCTTGGGCAGCCTGAACTGTATCCCCCTAGGGCTTGTATGGTAGAGCTCTAAACCCAATGGCATGACACCAGGAGGGGGGCGGTCTTTGGGAGGTGATGTGGTTTAGATGAAGTTACATGTGAGGGAAAAAGAAGAATCAAGATATATTATGTACAAGTACAAATTCCCTATGATGAATGTGATCATTATGTTTATCTAGAGTGTATCAAAAAATTAATTTTTAAAAAATGACGTTACATGGGTGGGGCCCCTCAATGGGAGAGAGACACCAGCCCCCAGGCCATCCATCACAAGCCAGGAAAAGCCCTCACCAGAAGGAAAGATGCTGGCACCCAATTCGTCTTCAGCCTCTAGAATGGAGGAAGTAAGTTTCTGTTGTTCACGCCACCCAGTATGCAGTGTTTCCTCATGGCAGTCTGTGTAGACTGAGAAGCCTAACCTCATAGCTTCTTCAGTATGTATTAATGAACTTAAAATAAGAAAAAAAATACAGAAAATGGAAACATAATTCTTTCTTGAACAACTTCCAAAATTTTCCCAATTTCCTTTTCCTTATTACAATTTTAAGGCAAATCTCAAGACACCGTGTCATTTCCCCCATAAATAAGTCGGAATTTCTCTCAATAAGGACTCTTTATAATAATAGCCGTATCATCACAAATTCCCTAACCCTCAGGCCCTGTTCAAATTTCCACGATTGTCTCAAAAATGCCTTCTTACAGCTGGTTTGTTCCAATCAGAGTCACCCCCAGCCCCACCCTGACTTTATGCCTCTGGTTTACTGAGGAAGGGTATTTGGTAGCATCTCTCATGAGGTCTGACTCATCACATCTTGCCAGGCTGAACTTCTTCATCCTACTTCCTACAAACTCATTTGTAATTCCATGTACCCTTGTTAACCGGAATCCTTAAAAAGCCAAAGCAAAATGCTTCATAAGCTATTCAGATAACCTGAGATAGACCAAGTGCTTTGGCCCTTGATCACCTCCAGAATACAGGGCTGCCCAAGAGTTCTGCATGGCAGATATATGTTTCTGGCTGGATCAGCAGTGACATCCCAAGGTGAGAACAAAGAGGTCACCTCTTTCCCAGAAAATGCCCCAAGGTGAACACAGGCACTGTATACTGCTCTAAGATCCAACCAGCTCCCACCACCTCCGGCCACCCAGTGCCAAGGAGAGCCCACAACATGTGGTAGTGTTGGACCAAAGGGGCCCTATTAACTGAGGGTCCCTAAAAGCAGAAGGGCCCAGGGCTGAGCTGAACAGTCCCAGGTTGGCAGCAGCTAGATGGCTCATGGCCCCATGAGAATGCAGGGCTGGTGTCTTGTCCTTGCCCGCATACCCAACCCAGAGCCAGAGGCTCTAGCTGCCTCTACCCGGCACTCTGACAGCTCTGCCCTGAGGCAGAGGTCTGAGCCCAAAGCAAAAGGGCTGTCCAGATGCCCCACCGGGCTCCCCACCCAGCCCTGGGGACAACCTTCCCAATAACAACCTACTTAAGCACAAAGAGAAGATGCAATGCCATTTTACCAAAGACACCACCTGAGTCAGTTTCAGTTTGAGAAACTAGAGAACAGCCCTCTGAGGACGTAGCTTTAAGAAATTTGTGACTTCGCCACCTGCTGTGCAAGCACAAGGACCCGAGTTCGATCCCTGGTACCAAAAAAGAAACTCTTGACTGTCCTGTACACATGGGATGCTTTCCCCACACAGGCAGTACGCTGTCAGCAGCCTATGAGTTCAGGTCTTTCCACAATCCTTTAGGGGTTGCAACATTACAAAGGTGCTCATTTCAAAGTCCCCTCTGTGAAGGTTGCAGAAGGGTCTTTGCTTCTGTGCAATTCAAAGCTGCCTTGCTTAGGCCACACGGAAGACAGAAGGGAGAAAGCACAGGTGAGGAGAGAGAGGCAGGAAAGGAAGTTAAAGTGCACAGGAGTGACACTCAGAGAAGGGTTTGGTTCCTGGGCAGAGAGCCACGGGTGCTGGAGAGGGCAAAATACCAGGAACTTCTCTGTCCACTCTCCCAGGGCTGCACATAGCCTCAGGCCATCTTGGACCCTGGCCATCTGGGAAACAGCACTGTGGCTCCAGATCTCTTTCCCCTAACAGCAGTTTTTCTGATAAACTTGGGGGATTCAGGAAGCTCTGAACAGTTGCTTTAAGGATCAAGAAAGGCTCTTCCAGGCTGGAGAGGGACTGTTGGACCAATCTGTCCCCATGGCCCAACTTTTAGTCAGGACACAGGCCTGCTGGACCCAGGCACTTCTACATTTTGCCTCGCCCATGGGTCCTCTGGTGCCGAGTGAAGAAGCCCAGGTGGCGAAAGCCCTTCCCACAGCGCTCGCACTCGTAGACCCTCTTGGTCAGGTGCAGCCTCTGATGGATGCTGAAGCCCTTGGGCCACCTGAAGGCCTTCCCACACTCAGAACAGGTATAGGGCTTCTCACCACTGTGGATCCGCTGGTGGTGGCTGAGGTTCTCCTTAGTGCGGAAGTCCTTGCTGCAGACGGCACAGTGGAAAGGCCTCTCACCTGTGTGCACCAGCTGGTGGCGCAGCAGGTTAGATTTCTGTTTAAAGGCCTTGCCACAAGCACCACACTCGTAGGGCCGGTGCCCCGTGTGCACCTTGCGATGCTGCACCAGGCGGTCCTTTAGGCTGAAGGCCTGTCCACACAGCTCACAGCAGAAGGGCTTCTCACTTGTGTGGTTCCTCTGGTGGCGCAGGAGGTTCGAGACCCAGCGGAAGGTCTGGCCACACTCGAGGCAGGCGAAGGATCTGGCACCCGAGTGTACCATCTGGTGGGCAGCCAGCCGGCTGTGGCAGCTCAGCACCTTCCCACAAGTGCCACAGATGAACACCTGTGCTCTGCCGCTGCCCTTGTGCTGCTCCTCAAGGCCTGGCCGCTGCCCAAAAGACTCACCACACACCTGGGCCTGCAGAGCCACAGGCTCATCTGCTCTCTTCCCTGAAGCAGCTCTGGGAAACTGCATATAACTTGCGGGGGTGGTGTTTGGGTGTCTTCCCTGAAGGTGGACTTTCTTGTGAGCCCAAGCCAGCCGACGGCAGCGTCTCCTGCAGTCAACCGGCTTCCTTGCCCCTGTGGAAGACACCAAAAGGTTTATACAGGGCTGACGGCCCAGGGACAGGCCAGGTCATACAAGCCAGTACATTAAAAGATACCAAATATTAAATTAACTTATTTCAATCTAATTAGAGAGTTGCTCCAAAAAAGTGACATGAGTTATATGTTCACCCAACTAGACAGCAGCTAGACAAACCCTGTCATGACCAGCATGGTGAAGTACTATAAATTGGTTTAAATAGCCCAATAGCACACATTCATGTGTATCTACCTAGTACAACAATTGAGCCAAGAGAATGTGCTCTAAACATGCATGCATCCACCAGCAGGCCTGCCCTGGCTAGAAGTAGAGCTCCACAATACAGACCACTGAGCCCCAAGCCAGAAGCTGCCCCAACTTAGGACCTGGTGCCCTCCCCAGCCTGTGGCTTCACATGCTCCAGGGACCTTCCAGTCTGTCTCAGGCATGCAGCTGCCTGATCTCACTTGTGAGGGGGATCTGAAGGAAAAAATAAAACCTAGGACTGGAGTGTGGCTGCCCAGTAGAGCACTGGCCTAGTACACACAGTCACGCCTCAGCTGCCCCTGTGCTTCTAAAGTCCCTCATGTGGACAGTTTCATGTCCCTCTCCTGCAAAGAGGGGAAGGGGCCCTTGGTTGGGGCTATATGCTGGGCACCAGCTGGGAGTTGTGGGGATGGAGGGATGAGCCGGCCAACCCCAGGCCAGACCCCATGGTGCTCACCTGGGCAGGGGGCACTCTGTGCTTCCTGAAGCTCAGTCTTCTCACAGTCCTCAACCCACAGCTCATCCCACTGCTCCAGGCGAGAGACAAGGTCTGGTCTGGGGCCGCAAAATCCTTCTCAAAAGAGAGAAGTGTTTTATTTGTCCAGAAGACAAAATGCAGGGTGTGGCTCACACTACCTCTGGGTCAGGATAATGTGAACCAAGCAGCCAGACTAGCCTTAGGGGCTCCTGGAGAAGCCACCAGGAGACAGACAGGACAGGAGGGAGATAGGAGTCTAGACACCAGGACCCCACCTCTTCGAGGACCAAACTTGGTGCAGGGAGGATCCCTAGGTCCTGAGCCATACATGCAACCTCACCCAGTGCTACCAGGCTCCTGAAATTGTCCAGCATCACATTCCGATAGAGGGCCCTCTGCTTTGGACTGAGACACTCCCACTCTTCCTTTGAGAAGTACACAGCCACATCCTTGAAGGTCACTGGCAACTGAAACATGCATGGCGGCTCCAGGGCTAGCTGCTCCTGAGAGAGGGCAAGAGAGACAGAGGCGCTGAAACCCAGGAATCCAGGCAGGCAGGGGTGAAGGCAGGTATTCCCCAGGGAGGAAAACCCCCGGGAGCCCACAGTTAAGCACAGCAAAGGCACCAGTTATGGACAAGATGTCTGCCCCCAAATTCATATGCTAGAACCCTAGCCCCAGTACAGTAGCCCCTGTACTGGAAACGGGGCTTCTTAGGAAGCAAGCAAAGTTAAATGAGTTCCTATAGCAGGGCCCTGGACAGAGGATACTAGGGTCTGCATAAGAAAGCCAGAGACTTCCCTGGCTCTCTCACCTCACACAAGGATACAGTACAAAGACAGCCTCTACAAACCAGGAAGCAGGCCTCACGAGAAACTGAATATGCTAACACCTTGGACTTGGAGCCTCAGAATAGAGAAGTAAATGCCTTCTGTTTAAGCTGCCCAGACTGGTATTTTGTTTTTGTAGCTGTAGTAGACCTAAGACAATACCTAAGAAACTCAAATATATGTTCCAAGCTTACTATCACATCTATTCTACTCATCATGTAGATAAATTAGATTCTTTTCTCTTTCTTCCTCCCTCATGAAAAGAGAACAAGCAAAAGGGCAGGCCCACACAGGAAGCCTCCTGGCCTGTGCTGGAGCTTGGGGGGTCCTGTGGGGCAGAGGGAGGCCGTGGGCTCACCTGGGACACATCCATGGGAACAGCAGTGGCTGCCCACCCCGGGGAAATGCAGGTGCCAGAAACAGCTGGTCTGGGGAAACAAAGTGTATGAGCATGAGCACCAGGCCTAGGAACCTCACCTGACCACCAGAGGCTGCTCCCAACTTACAATTCCAGGGAGTTCAGGAAAAACCGGTGGTGCCCCCTCCTCCCACTTGGCGTATCTGGTAAGCACAGAGCCAGGCAGGTACACAGGAAGGCAAGTGCCCTGGTTCCTCCCACACACAAAATCTCTGCAGCACCAGGAAGCAGGCTAGACCTGTCACCAGGTGAGGCTGAGACCAGCCAATTCTGGCTGAAGACGTGGCACTACAGAACTTGGTACTAAAACCCCAACAGAGGCACTGGAGTTCCAGGCAGGCAACCTAGCTGTTCCTGTAACACTGGGCATGAAAAATCTCCCCAGGCACTTTCCCACCAGAGGCCACAGGTCAACCTCCCCCCACATTTAAATATGGGGCAGCCCCAGGAAACACATGAAGGAAATCTTTACTGAGTCTCTGGGGCCAGCCAGTTGCTCCCCTAACCTGCAGGTAGGGATGGGGCTTCTGCCTCAGGCTGTGTCTCTTCAGAGAAGACAGACCCCCAGGGTACAGATGAGGCCAGTCCCAAGTCACAAAAGACAGAAGCTTCAGGAAAAGTCTACACCTTATTCACACATCAGAGATGGACTGGGTTGGAGATGCAGCTCAGCGGCACCGCCCCTGCCTGGCAAGGGCAAAGTCCTGAGTTTGATCCCAGGTACCATAAAAAAAAAAAAAGAGAGAGAGAGAGAGAGGGACAGCAGGAGTCCCCTAAGGGGCTGACAAGTTCAGCAATTTACATGAAACGGACAAATTCCCTGAAAAAGACATTACCAAACTGACAAAGCAGAGGAAGTCCAGGCTCTACCTGCTACACTTTCCAGTCTCTTAGTGAAGTCAGCACAACCCTGAATCAAACCCTTAATATTTCAGAAAAGACCAATCTCTATTATAAAGAAGCAGACATTCTAGGGCCGGGGATTTAGCTCAGTGGTTTCGCCGCCTGCTGCGCAAGCGCAAGGACCTGAGTTTGATCCCTGGTACCAAAAAAAAAGAGGCAGACATTCTTAAAATACCAGGATGTGAAGTCCAGAAATATATGAAAAGAATTCTACATCACGACCAGTGAGTTTATCCAAGAACACAAAGTTATTTCGATCTGCATTGGCTGGAGCTGGTGACCATGAGTTTGAGAGGCCCGACCCTGCAGGAGACTGCCCAGCCAGCTTCTCTGCACAGTGGTGCTACCTGTGTCCACCTCCCCTCATAAATGATTATCTCTTTTTCCTCCAGAGCCTTATTAGTTAATACCTAACCACTAAATGTTTTTATATATCTTCCAACTTGTAGTCTATAGGAATCTAGCTTGTCATAGCCACAGCCATTTTGGCCCAAAGATGCCATTTTTATCTACCAGTTGACCCTGGCATTAAGACAGTCCTGAGTGTGGTGTGCTAGGCAAAGATACCGACTATTTCTTCTTTTCCTTTTGGTACCGGAGATCGAACTTGGGACCTTGCGCTTGCTAGGCAGGCAGTGGAACCACTGAGCTAAATCCCCAGCCTTACCCACAGTTTCTTTTTTTTTTTTAACCCACAGTTTCTTAACTGACATTTGACATGGCAATGGTTTTTTAGAAAGGCCAGGTATATTCTGGTTAATCGTGGTTAATCGCACCATTGTCCAGCTCAGCATATAAACCCTTTCCTTTTGCCTAGGAGTACAGGGAGCCTCTTGTCTTGCAACTGTCCAAGACAGGCTTCTTTCTGTCAGTAAATCCTCAATAAATTGAGTTTTTCCTTTCAAGAGCATGACATTAACTTTAATCACAATGAATGCCTGTTATGGCTTATATCTAATGGCCCCTCAAAGCCTCAAGGGCTCATAGGTGGAGCTTTTGGGAGGTAGCTGGATATCAAGTGTGTGATACTGGATCAGTCCAGTGACTCATTTAGCATAGTTTTGGGTATGGATGATGGATTTACTGAAGAGAGAAGACCCACACTGGGTGTACGGGGCACCAACCAATAGGCTTGTAGCCTGGGTAGAATAAAAAGGGAAAGAATGGACCAGGGATGGTGGTGCACATCTATAATCCCAGCATTCAGGAGGCTAAAGCAGGAGAATCACTGAGAGTTCGAGGCCAACCTGGGCTACACAGTGAGTTCAAAACCAGCTGGGGGGGGG